TAGTGCTGCAAGCTCTGGTGGATCACAAGGGACGTTTCACCAACATCAACGTGGGATGGCCGGGAAAGGTGCATGATGCTCGCATCTTCAGGAACTCTGGTCTGTTTCAAAAGCTGCAGGAAGGGACTTTATTCCCAGACCAGAAAATAACTGTTGGGGATGTTGAAATGCCAATATGTATCCTTGGGGACCCAGCCTACCCCTTAATGCCATGGCTCATGAAGCCGTACACAGGCAGCCTGGACAGTGGTCAGGAGCTGTTCAACTACAGGCTGAGCAAGTGCAGAATGGTGGTAGAATGTGCATTTGGACGTTTAAAGGCGCGCTGGCGCAGTTTATTGACTCGCTTAGACCTCAGCGAAACCAATATTCCCACTGTTATTACTGCTTGCTGTGTGCTCCACAATATCTGTGAGAGTAAGGGGGAGACGTTTATGGCGGGGTGGGAGGTTGAGGCAAATCGCCTGGCTGCTGGTTACGCGCAGCCAGACACCAGGGCGGTTAGAAGAGCACAGGAGGGCGCGGTACGCATCAGAGAAGCTTTGAAAAACAGTTTCATGACTGGCCAGGCTACGGTGTGAAAGTTCTGTTTGTTTCTCCTTGATGAACCCCCCACCCCTTGGTTCACTCTACTTCCCTGTAAGCTAACCACCCTCCCCTCCTCCCTTTAATCATTGCTTGCAGAGCCAATAAAGTCATTGCTGCTTCACAGTCATGCATTCGTTATTCATTCATCACACAAATAGGGGGATGACTACCAAGGTATCCCAGGAGGGGTGGTGGAGGAGGGAAGGAAAATGCCACACAGCACTTTAAGCACAGCACTTTAAAAGTTTACAACTTTAAAATTTATTGAATGACAGCCTTCTTTTTTTTTGGGCAATCCTCTGTGGGGGAGTGGCTGGTTGGCCGGAGGCCTCCCCACCGCGTTCTTGGGCGTCTGGGTGTGGAGGCTATGGAACTTGGGGAGGAGGGCGGTTGGTTACAGAGGGGCTGCAGTGGCAGTCTGTGCTCCAGCTGCCTTTGCTGCAGCTCAACCATACACTGGAGCATACTGGTTTGGTCCTGCAGCAGCCTCAGCATTGAATCCTGCCTCCTCTCATCACGCTGCCGCCACCTTTGAGCTTCAGCCCTGTCTTCAGCCCGCCACTTACTCTCTTCAGCCCGCCACTTACTCTCTTCAGCCCTCCACCTCTCCTCCCGGTCATTTTGTGCTTTCCTGCACTCTGACATTATTTGCCTCCACGCATTCGTCTGTGCTCTGTCAGTGTGGGAGGACAGCATGAGCTCGGAGAACATTTCATCGCGAGTGCGTTTTTTTTTCTTTCTAAGCTTCACTAGCCTCTGGGAAGGAGAAGATCCTGTGATCATTGAAACACATGCAGCTGGTGGAGAAAAAAAAGGGACAGTGGTATTTAAAAAGACACATTTTATAAAACAGTGGCTACACTCTTTCAGGGTAAACCTTGCTGTTAACATTACATACATAGCACATGTGCTTTCGTTACAAGGTCGCATTTTGCCTCCTCCCACCGCGTGATTTTGGTTGAATGCCAGCAAACATACACTGCAATGCTTTGTTCTACAGTGATTCCCCAGTACGTGTTGCTGGCCTGGAGTGGTAAAGTGTCCTACCATGAAGGACGAAATAAGGCTGCCCTCCCCAGAAACCTTTTGCAAAGGCAGAACCGCAAATGCCAGGGCAAAGTAATCCTTTCACATGCTTGCTTTTAAACCATGTATAGCATTTTAAAAGGTACACTCACCAGAGGTCCCTTCTCCGCCTGCTGAGTCCAGGAGGCAGCCTTGGGTGGGTTCGGGGGTACTGGCTCCAGGTCTAGGGTGAGAAACAGTTCCTGGCTGTCGGGAAAACCGGTTTCTCCGCTTGCTTGCTGTGAGCTATCTACAACCTCCTCATCATCATCTTCTTCGTCCCCAAAACCTACTTCTGTATTGCCTCCATCTCCATTGAAGGAGTCAAACAACACGGCTGGGGTAGTGGTGGCTGAACCCCCTAAAATGGCATGCAGCTCATCATAGAAGCGGCATGTTTGGGGCTCTGACCCAGAGCGGCTGTTCGCCTCTCTGGTTTTCTGGTAGGCTTGCCTCAGCTCCTTCAGTTTCACGCGGCACTGCTTCGGGTCCCTGTTATGGCCTCTGTCCTTCATGCCCTGGGAGATTTTCAGAAAGGTTTTGGCATTTCGAAAACTGGAACGGAGTTCTGATAGCACGGATTCCTCTCCCCAAACAGCGATCAGATCCCGTACCTCCCGTTCGGTCCATGCTGGAGCTCTTTTGCGATTCTGGGACTCCATCATGGTCACCTCTGCTGATGAGCTCTGCATGGTCACCTGCAGCTTGCCACGCTGGCCAAACAGGAAATGAGATTCAAAAGTTCGCGGTTCTTTTCCTGTCTACCTGGCCAGTGCATCTGAGTTGAGAGCGCTGTCCAGAGCGGTCAGAATGGAGCACTCTGGGATAGCTCCCGGAGGCCAATACCATCGAATTGTGTCCACAGTACCCCAAATTCGAGCCGGCAACGTCGATTTAAGCGCTAATCCACTTGTCAGGGGTGGAGTAAGGAAATCGATTTTAAGAGCCCTTTAAGTCGAAATAAAGGGCTTCATTGTGTGGACGGGTGCAGGTTTAAATCGATTTAACGCTGCTAAATTCGACCTAAAGTCCTAGTGTAGACCAGGGCATAGATAATACACAGAGAAGTAACACTAATACTGTGTATAACAAAATAAATTGAAAAATTAAGTAGCTACTGTAAATTATCTATCTCTGCTATTAAGTGGTTTTTTTAAACACTTTTGTTACTTTTTAATATTTTTTTCAAACAACAAAAGTGTTTAAAAAAAACACTTAATAGCAGAGATAGATAATTTACAGTAGCTACTAATTTTTCAATTTCTTTTGTTATACAAAAGACTTAAAGACTAGATTGCTTTATAATTCTGGCCTTAAAGACTAGATTGCTTTATAATTCTGGTTCTTCAAAATGTGGCTAATTGTATTAAGGAACAGCATGTGAAACCCTTATGAATTTTTTTTTTAACATTTTGAAATAGAAGACTGATGGAGACGGGGAACCTTAAATTACCTTTCAACTGGTAAAACCCTGTATGGCATCTTCTAGCCTGATAAAACTCAAAATGTCTTGAGTTTCCATTTTATACACAGCTGATCTATAATCTGAGTTTATTTTTCTGAAATTGGTAAAGACTTATGCTACTGCTGTGTCTACTACTTACCATTAACCTTCTAATTTGTTCCCCACTGCTTATACACAGCCTCTGAAATATATTGTAGGCTCACATTTACTAAATGATGGTGCTTGGGTAATTTAAAATTATATGGATTTTAAACAATAAGGGCACGGAGTGATTTTTCTGAAGAACCTTTTTGCATAGTACTTTTGGGAATGCTTAATTATGTGCTGAAAAGAAGAAAAAATGAATCTGAGACACAAGTAGGTAGAATTTAAGTGATCATGCATTAGTGTACCTAAATAGAGCATATTTTCTGCTTATATAACTTACCCTACATTCCTAGCTGGCATTTGCATGAGTCTTTTGTATGGGTGGTTTTCAGGAACTAATGCATAAACAAAAAAGTGATCTCGGAGCAGTTCTGAAGCAGGCACAATTTTCCTGTTCCTATGTCCGTTGCTTTTTCTCTTAAAGGAGAAAGGTTAAAAATATTTAGGGCAAAATCCTGTTAGCCTTCCTCACACCAGTAGTCCCCAAACAATGGGGTGATGACAGAAATAAGGCAAGCAGGATTTAGCCGTTGGCACAGAGAGTACAATTTTGAAGCCTGATCCAATGCCCATTGCAGTCAATGGGAGCTTGTCCTCTGACTACACTCAGCCCACTGGTGCTGGAAATAGGGGTGCTGGGGATGCTGCTGTGCCTGGCTTGAAGTGGTTTCCATTACATAGAGGGTTTATAGTTTGGTTCAATGGCTCTCAACACCCCCACTATAAAAATTGTTCCAGCACCCCTGCTTTAGCCCTTCGTTAGATCCGTAGTACCCCAGAACCTTATTTATCCCAATCTAATAGGGGAGATGAACTTTATTCTGATTATTGGGATTTCAGGTAAGAGTGCAAATGTTTATGTAAATGTTTCATGGCAAGGGATATAACCCTATTTTGGACAATGAAGATTTTATCTAAAAGAAGTTCTACTGTATTAAAAATAATATTTTTAAAACTATTTTTGGCTTGCTCAAGTGGACGTGTTTGCGCAGCATGATATTTTTCATCTGAAAGTGAATTAAAAATTCCCCCTTTCACTTCTTGATTCCAAAGTGTTTCATATAGTTTCATGCCCACAGGACAAGATACAATAATTCAAATTTTTAAAAAGGTGGAGGAAAAATTATTTGTGAGAAGATGCAGTATGTCTGACAGCATCGTCTTAGGCTAAGCATGGGCTTTCTCTGAGGTTTATTTTTTATTGAATGTTTGCTAAACTGTCCTATAACTGTCCTGTAAAGGGAGAGATGCTGTAAAATCTACAGTGTGTGTGTGTGTGTGTTTTGTCAAAAGGGCCTTAAAATTTGTGGGCACAATATTGTATGCCCAAGGTTTTCCACATGTAAAAATACAGATTAGCATATGCAGATAGCTTTCATACATACATATCAGGGAGACAAGCTTGAGGGGTACAAAGTTAGGCTCTCCATGGAACACAGTACAGATAGATCCCTGCATCTTCACAGAGTCCTTTGCATAATAAAAACCTTACAGACGAGGTATAGTTCAGTTAAAAAATCTGACTCTATATGTTCATGTACTCAGGGAACACATGACAAAAGAATTGTATTGAAGAGTGACTGTCAAGTCCCCTCATATTTAAGAGAAACAAGATTTCTGTTAAATATTAGAGAAGTTTATAATTCAAAATACAAACAATATTTCTAATGTAACAGAATTATATACATTGTGGTACTTTCCCTAAATAAAATCCTTCGTTCCTATTTGGTTCTAGACAGTTCGGCTGAGGAAGCAGGGCTTCAGGTGGGCGATATTGTGTTGGCTGTCAATGGAACTGACGTCACCAGCATGCCACATTCACAAGCTGCAAATCTGGCAAGAAAGGGTAAGCTTGACCTCATCATTAATTCCGTGAGACAGGATCATTGTACAGTGCAGAGAGCAATTGGACATGATGGTGAATAGACACCATAGAAAACTTAATTAGCAATTTTAGATGTCAGCCCTCTAAATTGAATGTGGAGTCACTTGTTTATCTAGGCCTTGCCAAAACATATGGGGAAATGGACAAACAGGCAACATTATTCTCATTTACTCAGTTTACCAAACAAATTCTTCACAGTTAAAGAATGAGAGAAATGGGAAGCTGATTTTAAAAAAATATTTTTTAAATATGCTTCAAAATATTGCTGCTATGACATATTTTTGACTTTTCTGGAGTAGACTATAATATTTGTTTGAAAACAGATAATTTTGTTTAATATCTTAAACAAAATCTTGGGATAAAAGATAAATGGCACACAAGTTAAGGATCTGTCCGAGGAGGTAGGATGCTGCAAAGGGATCTCACAAAACTGGGTGACTGAGCAACAAAATGGCAGATGAAATTTAGAGTTAATAAATGCAAAGTAATGCACATTGGAAAACATAATCCCTACTATATACACAAAATGATGGGGTCTATATTAGCTGTTACCATTGAAGAAAGAGAACTTGGAGTGATTGTGGATAGTTCTCCAAAAAATCCACTCAATTTGAAGCAGCAATCAAAAAAGCTAACCGAATGTTAGGAACCATTAGGAAAGGGATAGATAATAAGACAGAAAATATCGCAATGTCACTATATAAATCCATGGTATACCCACACCTTGAATACTGTGTGTAGTTCTGATCACCCCATCTCAAAAAGGATATATTAGTATTAGAAAAAGTACAAAGAAGGGCAACAAAAATTATTGGTGGTATAGAACAGCTTCCATACAAGGAAAGATTAAAAAGACTGGGGCTGTTCAGCTTGGAAAAGAGACGACTGAACGGAGATATGAGAGAGGTCTATAAAATCGTGACTGGTGTGGAGAAAGTGAATCAGGAAGTGTTATTTACCCCGTCACCATGATACAAGAACCAAGTGTCACCCAATTAAATTAATAGGTAGCAGGTTTAGAACAAACAAAAGGAAATATTTCTTCACATAACACACACTCAACCTGTGGAACTTGTTGCCAGGGAATGTTGTGAAGGCCAAAAGTATAACTGGGTTCAAAAAAGAATTAGATAAATTCATGAAGGATAGGTTCATCAATGGCTGTTAGGGTCAGGGACACAACCCTATCTCTGGGGGTTCATAAATATCTGACTGCCAGAAGCTGAGGCTGGATGACAGGGGATGGATCATTCAGTAACTGCCTTAGTTCTGTTTGTTGCCTCTGGCAGGATAAAACAGGATACTGGGCTAGATAGATCATTAGTCTGGCCCAATATGGTCATTCTTATGTTCTTTTGTCTGCCTTGTTTATGCCCTTCAGAAGAATGTTTTGCAAATGTCTCATTGTTAGTGAGTGCTTTCTGTAATTAAAAGGAGAGAGAGAGAGAGAGAGGCAGCAAATCACAGAAAGGAGCCCAGACAAGTGTTAAAATTTCCACTCCTGTGGCATTTGAAAACACAGCTTGATTCTCCTAATATTTAGAAAGAGAAACGAACTTTGTATTCTATCTCTACTGTCTATGGGTGTCTGTCTATGGTTTGACATCAGGGGTGTGATATGAGTGCAGTTGGAAACTGATAGCACAGTGAGATGACAAGATAAAGGTCTGGGTTAGATAAGACCCCAATTTTCTGTTTGCTCTAGGTGCTAATATTACCTACTTCTACTATCATTAAAACCTGAGCTAAAATGTCATGTGATAGAGAGCACATTCTGTGATACTGCTTTTGGGGCTCATGCCTCAAAGAGAGATGTCTGCTGACAGGGGCCTCTGAGACACCAATATGCTATTTATGTCTGATGTTTCCTCAAAGGGAACATTCACAGTCTGGCTCTATGCACCCATTAGCAATATCTTTGTTACTGGGGACCCAGGTTAGTATGGACAGCAGAAAGGTTACTTCAGGGCACAGCGTTTTGCAGAAACAAATTGTCAGTGATGATAATCATTCATATTTTTCCAGTAGCAGTAGTGACAAAAAACAAAATACATTCATGTTTGCATATTGAGAATCAATCTGCTATAGTCCTTTTAATTCTCCCACATATGATTTTGATAGGGGCTCGAGGGAAATTCAGTAAATTAAAATGTTTTTACAAAACAGTGTCAAAATTATCTTGACTCATAGCAAGTTTTTTAAATATTGAGGGCCCATTCATACTGTTAAATTTAAGAGTGTGCCAGCCATTTCCTGGAGAAATTCCTGTTCTTGGGGTGGGGGCTATTTAACTCACCCAGGAAAACTCTCCATGGTCTAAAGAAAAGGAGTACTTGTGGCACCTTAGAGACTAACCAATTTATTTGAGCATGAGCTTTCGTGAGCCACAGCTCACTTCATCAGATGAAGTGAGCTGTGGCTCACGAAAGCTCATGCTCAAATAAATTGGTTAGTCTCTAAGGTGCCACAAGTACTCCTTTTCTTTTTGCGAATACAGACTAACACGGCTGTTCCTCTGAAACCTCTCCATGGTCTAAATCTTGGCTTAACAGCAGTATTCCCAACATCAACTGTCACCATAAAGACATGCAGCCTTAACAGCAAACATTTTGCAAATGAAAATGTGTCATGGTCATAGCTTTCAAGGTTTTTTAGGGATTGCTGTCTGTCCTGGTGCTGCTTAGAAGTTCCATCTGTGTAATAAGGATTTCAGGTCTTTGGGGATAAATACATGCATGTGCTGATAGCATCAAGGTATTGTTTGATTATTGTAAAATAGTATCATAGCATTCATAGGAGAATCTGATCAGGAAAACACATTTTCAGCTAGCCTAGCAGTCTAACATCACTTTTGAGCAATTCCCATCAGCCAACTAAGGAGCAGGGGGGAGGGCAGGGACAGTGCACATGGGGCGCATATCCAGTACTCCATAGCCTGGAGGGTGGTTGATACAGAAGTTGTGGCAATCCAGGAGGACTCTTACATGCAAAGAAAGAATTCCCAAGGAACATATTTAAGAGATTAAGGGCTAAAGTTTCACAGGAGCCTCCTAACCTGCACCCACAACATTTCTGTGTGAACTCACATTTCTGCACACAAATCTGGATTTGCATTTACAAATGTCCCCTTCAGGTCTATATGCAGTTACCAGCTTTTTCCCTCAAATGTAAGCTTTGCAATCACATACAGGTACACATGAAAAATGTGCAGGCCTAACTTCAGAGGCTTCTTTGGAAACTGGGTCCTGAAGGTACAGTGCTGTCTCCAGTACAAAATGAGTTCAGATTTTTTTCCGTTCATTCCTTGTTTTATATTTCTACAAGGAAAGAGGACACACTTTTTAGTTTAGTTTAATTGTTATTTCCAGTTCTGCTTTGCTCTCAAATATTTGTAATGAAAAATTTCAGGCCCTGATATCTTGACCCTCTTGGTTGGATCAGACATCAGCCGCTGTCCCAGCACTCCCAGGCCAACATGTCGAGGATATTTGCACAAGCGAACTCACTCAGGGATACTGAAGGGCTGGAGGAAGAGATGGTTTGTGCTGAAACATGATGGCTGCCTTCATTACTACAAACACAAGAAGGTAAAGAGAAGAGGGTATGGTAAGAAAGCAAACTGTGCCATAGTTTACAATGGAGAGGTGCAGCAGTGTACTCAGACATGCAATGGAAGTGTGCTCAGATATATTGACATGTAACTTCTAGAACTGCCTTCACCTGGATGGGTATTTTCTGCATAGATGCTAAAAGGAGGCTCCCTCACTTCAAGCTGATGGCCAAATTCTACCTTCGTTTACGCCCATGCAACTCCTTTGAAGACATTAATTCAAGAATAGCAATGTTAGGCTTTGGTGAATTCTAATTCTATCCCGTGGTTAGGGTTCTACAGTGTGTTATGAACAAAGACAGAACACAGGCTCAGAGAGACATTAAGTGAGGTGGTAACTTTGGAAGTGCAGAAGCTCTAGACCCACCTCCTGAGATAAATATTTTTAAAATTAGCCATAAGCATGGGACTCCTGCATGTATGTGCAAACTTGTGGAGGGGCCAGCCACAGCAAGGCTGGGATGTACAGGTACTGCACAAGATTTATACCACAGCTAGCACTAGGCTACCCGAAAAGAAAGCCAGCTGGTGCCCCATAAGGGATAATGTCTGAACTGACCAAAATTTCTCCCAAGACTTCCACTGCAGTGTGGACCTCTGTACGCACCTTTATAATGGCATAATCTAGGTTTAAATCAGCAGACTGGTAAGATGGTGGATTACTGTTTGTGTCAAATATAAATATATGAGTGCTTCTAAGTTTCTTCTTCTTTGTAATTATATGAAGAGATTCAAAAATATTTAACATAAATTACAGTTGTCCTTTAAATCTGCTTACCCTGAGCACCACTGTAATAGAAGTTCATATTTTAAATACTGCTGGACAGTTCCTAAAGGTTCCAATGGTTGCATTTCCACCTGTTGTCCAGCAGGTGGAGCATTTTGATAATGGATATTTTTCAGAGCTGCTATGCCTAGAAGAGCAGCTGAATTAATCTGTTACACAATCCTATTATAGCACAATTTGCAAGGCACTTTAGTAGGTGTTGGATATAATGACAAGTTACCAGTCCCTTCCCTTATGTAACTTTGCAACAAAGTTACTCAAGCAGAAAGTTATGTTTCCAAAATTAAATATACTGATTTCTAAGTGTGTCTATTTTTGGTCTTTTGTAGTAAAACACTTCATAGCTTATAAAAAGATCCACATCAACCAGCTCAAGCATTAGTTGCCCCGTTTTAAAGCAAAATTAAATGCAGGAAGATATGAGGGTCAAATTCAGGCTACAGCCTTAGCTCTGTGGCACTATGCTGAGTTACACCAGCTGAGGATCTATCTATCCCTCACTCTGGAGTAAACCCATCTTCCAGGGAGGTCTCTAGGCCAAATAACATAAATGGTGGTGTCAGCTGGCCAGAAAATATTTATAAGTAGATGCAAGGGATAAATTAGAGTAACTCACAGTGACTTGGCAGTCAATGGATGTGCAACGTAAGTGTATTGTATACAGTAAGGGGTGCAATGAGAGGCATAGCAGGCAGAAAATAATAGGAAGATGTAATATACAGCAGGCCCCACTCTCTAACATACATCCTCCTTTCAGTTGCTTTTCCTATTATTGCCATTTCTCCCCCCATCCAGTGCACCCTCTCTCAGATGTATGTTACGCACCTCCTGAATGATAAATCACTGGAGTACTACTGACATAAAACGGGAATGAAGCAGGGATGAATTCAACTCTTCATGTTTTCGGTTGTTCCTAATGTTCTCCTTTACATAGGACGAACATGTCAACTTCAGACAGATAAGCAATCACCCAGAAACTGAGGCCCTTTTTGCAGCAGTCTAACAGTGCCCATGGCATAGAACTTTTAGGAACAGGAAAAAGCCTACTGCTCCAAACACATATATGTTTTTAATTGGTCTATCGTAATTGTACCTTCTTGTGTAGGTGGTTTTTTTCTCTTGTATAATTGCAACCCTTAATCCCCTTTTTCAATGGAAACAAATCTAGCTCCATTTTGTACTAATTTATGCTTTAGGCTTCATCAGCCTTCTCTGGGAACTTATGCTAAGGCTTGTGCCAGCTTCCATCAGCATGGTCCTGGCATAGGCCCCTGTAATGGAAAGTCCATCCATGGGAGTACAGATGCAGCAGCACATAGCACCAGAACCACTCAGCCACCAGCCAAAAAATGTACATTGCAGGCCAGGGAAGGCGTATTGCCAAACCAATGGGGAACGGAGAGATGCTGTGAATCAGCCCATCTCCTCAGCTGCCTCCACTAGCAGAACTCCTACAGAGCCCCTAGTGGAAGAAATACCACCTACATTGAATCCTCCTGGTAGGCACTGGTCCCAGGGCAGTTTGCACCTTCATGTGGTGACATCTGGCAGCGGATATTATGCTTTTACATAAAGAATTTGAATTACTCCAATGTAAACTGGTGTGACTCAGAACAGATTTTGGTACTGTATGTCTAGGCTTATAACGGAGTTTGTGCACTGGACTAAAATGACCCTTTACAGTAGTTGTAACATTTAGTTAGCACTCAAGAGGCGGATTGGTCAGAGCAGGGCACATCACTTCTATTAACTACATGAGCTATCAGCTTAGCTCGACTCTGCTCAGGCCTCTGTTGGGCATGCTTAATACAAGCATTAGCATATTAACTCTGTTATCTTATTTGCATAGCCACAGCTACAGTTAGGGTTGCCAACTTTCTACTCAAACAAAACTGAACATCCTTGCCCTGCCCCACCCCCTCCTCTGAGGCCCCGCTCACTCCATCCCCCCTCCCTCTTTTGCTCTCTCCCCCCACCCTCACTCAGTCGCTCATTTTCACTGGACTGGCTCACGGGGTTGGGGTTGCAGGAGGGGGTGCGGGCTCCGTGGTAGGGCCAGAAAATGAGGAGTTCAGGGTGCAGGAGTGTGCTCCAGGCTGAGGCAGTGGGTTGGGATGCAAGAGGGGATGAGGGCTCTGGCTGGGGGTGTGGGCTCTGGGATGAGGCCAGGGATGAGGGATTTGGGGTGCAGGAGGGGGCTCTGGGGTGGAGCCAAGGGGTTCAGAGTATGGGAGGGAGCTCCAGGTTGAGGCAGGAGGTTGGGGTGTGGGAGGAGGTATGGTCTGTGGGCTGGGGGTGCGGGTTCTGGGGTGGGGCCAGAAATGAGTGGTTCAGGATGCAGAAGGTGGCTCTGGGATGGGGCAGGGCATTGGGGTGTGGGAGGGGAGGGGAGGACTCCAGCTGGGGATGAGGAGTTTGGGGTAAAGAAGGGTATTCTGGGCTGGGACCCAGGGGTTCAGAGGGCAGGAGGAGGATCAGGGCTGGGGCAGGGGGTTGGGGTGTGGGGGGACTCAGGGGTGTAGGCTCTGGGCGGCACTTTCCCCAAGCAGCTCCTGGAAGCAGGGACATGTCACTCCCTGGCTCCTACATGGAGGCGGGGCCAGGTGGCTCTGCACACTGCCCCATCCACAGGTGCAGCTCCCATTGGCTGTGGTTCCCAGCCAATGTGAGCTCTGGGGGCAGCACTTGGGGTTTGGGCAGTAGGCAGAGCCCCCTGGCTGACCCTACGCCTAGGAGCCAGAGTGGGAACATGCCGGCTGCTTCTTGGGAGCCGCACAGTGTGGATGGTAGCAGGGAGCCTGCTAGCCCTGCTGCACAACACCGCCAACTGGACAGTCCTCAGCCCAATCAGCAGTACTGACCAAGATCTCTTTTTGACCGGGTGTTCTGGTCGAAAACCAGACACCTGGTCACCCTAGCTACGATAGTAACTTGATACCTGTCTTTACAGTATTGACTCTCTAGGGACAGGAGATGTTGCATGTCTACTATACTGTTTAGCCATTTTTTACATTAATATTAGGGCTAGACAGAAAATGGAAGTGATTTCTGTGGAAATTTCTCCTTTTGGGGGGGGTGGGAAATCAAAATATTTTGGTTCAGAAATGCTACTGTGGTACCTCTTGCTTCCATTTGTATAGGTTAGGCTTCAGGGTTGGACTACATCTCCCATAATGCACCACAGTCTCTTCTCTTGTTGAGCGGAGGCAATATATAATCTGAGTCCCTGGCTATGGTGCATAATGGAATATATAGTTTAGCTGAGGAGCACAGCCCATAGAGGAGAATGGAGACATGAGAAAACCAAACTACAACTCTCATGAGGTACCATGGTAGCATATTCAAACTGAAATATTTTGGCATTCAGGTACTCTTTTTTTGGACAAAAAATAAAAAATGTCTGTGGAAAGCAGGCACTTTTTGCAAAAAAAAAAAAAAAAAATCATTTAGTTGAAAACTCAGTTTTCTGCCAAAAAACAGTTTGAACCAAGAGTGTTCTACCAGCCCCAACTAATATATAGCGGTAATTCACAAATTCAAAAAAATGATATAATGTAAATTTGTAGGCACTAAACTGCACCATATTTGTTACTTTATATTAAATATTCCTGAAGTATGAGGAAGAGTGGTGAGTGAACTTCAGAAAGACTTCACTGTAAAAAACTTTTAATTTATTCTTTTCAAGGGATTCTAAGGGATCCTTAGAAGCTCACCACGTATACAAGAGCTCACATTCAAAACACAAGTATAAGATGATGGGATGATTTACCTGCGGTTGGTCCTGCTTTGAGCCGGGGGTTGGACTAGATGACCTCCTGAGGTCTCTTCCAACCATAATCTTCTATGATTCTAAGGGGAAAGGATGGGCTTCCTGAAATATCTTGGACAGAGTTTATTTTTATTTTCACTGAAAATTCATATATGAAGCTGATCAGATTCAGAGTCAACCAACCCACTCTTTACTGCCACCACTCTAGAAAGGACTCATTTCTCCATTCAGGACTGATTAGCTTCCGGTAGTTACACTAAGGGAGCAACAACCTTCAGTCACCATCCTTATGGTGTTTGCATATAAAGTAGGATTCTCAGTGTAGAAAGTTGAACAACGCTCACAGACAGTGAGGGGGAAAACTTCAAAAAAGTTCTGAGACCGGATTTATTTTTATAGCTCAGATAATCATTTGAACAAT